CGTATATATTTTCATTGTAGTTAATTATTTACATATGAAAATTGGATATATTTTACTTACAATATGATCAAAGTACTTTAAGTCATCAAGTTTTAATAGAATATATAAATATATATAACTCAATGCTTTGCTAAATTTCGCTTCATTCAAGCAATGGCATTTGAGATAGTTTCACTTGATCTTCCAGCACTTCTTTATTTATTGGCACATCTGTTTCGCCAGTGCTAAAGGAAAACATTGCGTGTGCAACATGGCGTATAAGCAACGCTTAACTGGCAATTCCACTGCAGCTGACAACAAGACGGGGCTTCAATGCAGAAAGCTACTAAAATTGCAATGCAGCCAGCTGCAAGACATTATATTTATGTGTATATATATAACTATGCACGTATCTCAGAGTTGCAGCTTGCAAGTATCTTGTATCTCAAGTTTAGCATGCAAATTGCTTCAGTTTTGACCATAACTCACGAGTGCCTGGCAAACATTCAGCAAAGCATTCAAGCAGACTTTGCTCAAACACTTGACTGCCCTTAGTCTTAGCACGTCTGTCCTTCCGTCTGTCGGGTCTGTCTGCCTAAGGAATTAAAGCGGGCATAGTGCTTTAGCAGTCGAAATGGACAAGCGTTCATTTGAATGCAAGCCTGATGCTTTGTTTGGCAGCTAGTTAGTAAAATTATGAACACACAAAAGCAGCTCAGAGCTTCGGGAGTGGGTTCCGTCCCGGCTGGCGTATACAGGCCAAGGTTAATGGACGAGCGTAGATAAAAGCGTGGCAAGCCGGAATAAATGAGACCCGCGTGGGCAAGTGGAGCCACTCAGCACTCAGCACTCAGTACTCGGCGCTCAACACTGGCGCTCGGTGGTGACCAATCAGTTATGGCACAGTCAGTTCGTGTAGCCGCACACATACACGCGCTGCATACAATCAACTCTGACCTGGCGCTAGAGCCAGACGGAAATTCGCTGACGCTCGGTTCATTCCACTCGGCCAATGAACGCGGCAGAAGAAGCGTCATTTGCAGCTGCGTCTGTTGCTGCTCAAACTATGGTGTATGCTAGGGGCAACCAGCTCACGCATGCTGCGAATCGTCTTGAATGCTCACTTCTGACACATTCCTCTCGGGGCCAAACAATGCCAAAGTTCAGCAGCAGCAATTGAACCCGAGGCGACTTTGATGTTTGGCCTCGCTTGCAGCTCACAGCACAGCTTAGCCAACTTGGCTAACTTCCCAAAAAAGTAGCTGAAAATGTCAACAAACATTCAGAGTCGGTGCAATGACACCAGCTGCTTGATGCTTGATGACATTACATTACACTAAATGCAACAGTTTAGCTAAAGCGAATCAATTTCTCTGATGGATAAAGCATTTCGTCTTTCACGACAAAGGCGTGAATTTTTAGCAGAGAAAGAAAATAAAATGGCAGAGCGAGAGCTGAAAAATTACTGGCTGCCTTTTTATTGTCGTGCAACAACTGAGAATGGTTTAACGTTGTTTTGGGTTGAATTTAATATATATCTTTTAATCTAATAAAATATATAAACTATATATTTCTG